CTGATGCTGCTTGGCCTGCTGTGTTCATCCAGCTCTACACCTTGTTATCTTAACTTAAGTCCTGACTCCCCAAAGCATGTCCACGATCTACAAGGCACAAGTCAGGAGTGTGATGGAATACTCCCCACTTACCTGGATGGGTGCAGCCCCAACAACACTCAAGAAGCCTCAACATCATCCGGGACAAGGAATCCTTTTAATTGACCCTCTGTCTATCACCTTCCCCACCTCAATCTCTGACATACAGTGTCACAGTGACACATCTACAAGATGCACTGCAATGACTCTCCTTGGACACCACCTTCCAAACTCGTGACCTCAACCTCCCAGAAGGTCAGCAGATATATGCAAACACCAATCCCTACAAATTGCCCCCAGGCTACGCACTGCCCTGACTTGGAAATATATCACCATTCCTTTGCTGTCGCTTAGTCACAATCCTGGAACTCCTTCCTTAACATCGTGAGGGTGGGTGTACCAGACTGCAGGAGCTCAAAGAAGCAACTTGCCACCTCCTGATGGCTATTAGGGGTGGAAAGAAATGACGGCCTTTTGTGGTATTTTCCCAGCTAACTTCCTCATCTTGTGGTATTTACCACCTTTACCAGTACGTGGTACTAGTTAATTGAGGTAATTCACTGCCACCAAGCCTCCTTTGTCTTTGTTTTGTCTTGGGCCTATCTTGTGATTAGTGGTCTCTATAGAGGATACACAAAAGAGGCAGTGTTCTTGGATAACAAGAACTTTTTTACAAGATAGCAATAAGTCCAACTACTTTTTGGCCAGGCAGGATGAACTAGGACTTTAGGGAACTGGTATGGATACATCTGCTGCTGAAAATCTGGAAGAGAAGTCTTCATCCTCAGACTGTGTGTGACATTAGTCAGGTTGCCAGAGCCAATGTAACATGAACATTAAACATTTCAGAACTATGACCTGATACCACAGCCTTGCTATCGACTCCCAAACCTCATAAAAAGGTGAAAAGTATCCCTCAGTCCCCCTTGTCTCTGTATTTCTCAATGACATCAGACATAGTGATTGTAAACCAATGCTGCTAAAAATATACATTTGGGTTGTTGATATCCAAGGAGGGAGCAAACATGTTATTTCTCTGATTAAGATGACAAAGCCATCTGCTGAAGATTGTTAGGTTTATTTTTTGCCTTCCTTTGACAGCAGGGACCTTAATCACGGCCACTAGAGATAATGATTAATCAACTTCCACTGTACCTATCAGTGATTGGAAAAAAACCCATAATCAAGTGTTTGTGACAGACCTGGACAGAAGCAGCAGGAACATCTACTGAGGAAACATTGCAAAGACACCAGCAATGGAACATAAGAGACACAGGGCAGTTTTACAAATCTTCCCTCTTTTCTTCATGGTAAGTAAGCTTGGTTAGTTCCCGAAATATCATTACATTGATTACCACAGAAAGTATAACCTAGATTAATTTTTATTTAACCGAAATGAGTGCAATTAAACGATGCGGACACTTTTATTAATGGAAACAGAGAGGAGCTGTTTGTGGGAAATAATCAAGATATTAATGAGTATCAAATGTACAGACTGGGAGCACAATGTTATACTCCTCTTCTTGACCAGTTAGTTAAACGCTGAGTCCGATTCTATTTGCTTCAATGATAAGGATTTTGCTATAGTGTGTTTTGATGAAAATACAAGTTTTTTAAAAACCCCAGTCTGTCAGCATGAGATGATGGCCCTTTTTCCTCCGAAAACAGTGTGCGTTTCTGATGCCATCACGGAGGTGAGATTAATCCAGTCGATGTGATGTTCAGAATAAGAGGTTGAGGAATCTGTACGTTGCACCTGTTTAATAAGCCTGTTCCCACACTGTAGGGATTCTGTGATTCTATGAGTTTATGAGTTTCTCTGTGTTTGTAGCCAGGTTTTGCCTTGAAGTCAACTTAAGGGAGATACCCTCATGGGAGATAAATTGGTTCACTTACTTCTGGCCCTGACTTAACAGATTGAAACTTTCTTCCTGATGTTTGCAATGACATGAAATAATAAATTTATCAGTAAATTTGTGGACTAAGCCATGACCTAATTTCTTTCTCCTTTTATTCTTTCATGGGTTGTAGGGGTGTCCAAAAAAAAAACCATAAGATATAACAGCAGAAGAAGGCCATTCAGCCCATCGAGTCTACTCCGTTATTCAACGAGGCCATTGCTGATCTGATAATCCTCAACTACCCTTTCTTGCCTTTTCCCCATAACCCTCAATCCCCGAACTGATTAAAAATCTGTCTATCCCAGCCTTAAATATACTTAATGACCCAACCTCAACAGCCCTCTGTGGTAAAGAATTCTACAGATTCATTTCCCTCTGAGAGAAGAAATTCCTCTTCATCCCTGTTTCAAGTGTACGTAAATCATACATATATAGAACAATACAGCACAGGAACAGACCATTCAGCCAATTATGTCTGTGCTGATCATGATTCTATTCTAAACTAATCTCATCTGTTTGCACATGGCCAATATCCCGCTACTCCCTGCCTGTGCCTGTTCATGTGTCTGTCTAAATGCCTCTTAAATAATGCAAAAGTATTTACTTCTACCACTTCCCCTGGCAACACATTCCAGGCACCTACCACCCTGTGCCTTCATCTCCTTTGAGCATTTCCCCTCTCACCTTAAACCTATGCTCTCTAGTATTTGACATTTCCACCTGAGATAAAAAGGGCCCCAACTATCCACCCTGTCCAAGCTTCTCATCCCTTTGCATTCTTCTAACAGGTTGACCCTCAGTCTCTGACGCAAAAACAATCCCAGTTTGCCCAACCTCTCCTTATAGCTTAATACACTCCAATCCAGCAACATCCTGGTAAACCTCTACAATACTTCAAATGTGACCTAGCTAAACCAAATGGGACTTATTCTGAGACGATGCCCCCTGGTCCTAGACTCTCCCACAGGGGGAAACAACCTACATCTGTCCTGTCAAATCCCCGAGGAATCTTGTATGCTTCAATAAGGTCACGTCTCGTTCTTCTAAACTCCAACATGTGTGAGCTAAATCTACCCAACCTTTCCTCATACCCAACCTTTCCTCATAAGGCAGTCTCTCCATACCTGGGATCAACCTAGTGAACCTTCGCTGGATAGCCTCCAATTTTTCCTTACACAAGGGGACTAAAACTGTCCAGAGTATTCTTGATGTCAACTAACTAGTGTCTTTTACTGTTTTGGCAAGACCTCCCTATTTTTATACTCCATCTCCTGTGAAATAAGGCCATAAATAAAAACAGAATTGTGGAGAAACTCAGTTGGTCTGCCATCATCAGTGGAGGGAGAAGCAAAGTTAATTTTTTGAGTCTAATATGACTCTTCTCCCAAACTGAAAGGAACTCGAAAATAATGGTTTTTAGGTTAGTGACAGAGAATGAGGAGGAGCAAGTGGAACAGATGGTGAGGATGCCCAGGGATAAAGTGAAAGGTATTGATTAGAGTGGTAAAGGAGAGATTCTCTGTTCCCCAATTATAGAGTCATACAGTTGTACAGTATGGAAACAGAACTTTTGGTTGAACTCGTCCATGCCAACCAGATATCCTAAATTAATCTAGTCCCATTTGCCAGCATTTGGCTCAAATCCCTCTAAACCCTGCCTATTCATGTACCCATCCTGATGCCTTTTAAATGTGTAATTGTACCAGCCTGTACCACCTCCTCTGCCAGCTCATTCTATACACACACCACACTCTGCATGAAAAAGTTGCCCCTTAGGTCCCTTTTAAATCTTTCCCCTCTCACCGTAAACCTAAGCCCTCTAGTTTGGGACACTCCTACCCGGGGGAAAGGACCTTGGCTATTCACCCTATCCAAGCCCCTCATGTTTTTATGAGCCCCTATAAGGTCACCCCTCAGCCTCCATGCTCCAGGGAAAATAGCCTCAGCCTTTTCAGCCTCTCCCTATAGCTCAAACCCTCCAAACCCGGCAACATCCTTGTAAATCTTTTTTGCACACTTTCAAGTTTAACAATATCTTTCCTACAGCAGGGAGACCAATTGAGATGTTTAAGCTGATTAAGGAATTGATAAAGTCGACAGCAAGAAACTATTTCCGCCAGTGGGGAGATGGCAATTGAGAACACTGCAAATGTGACTGTTCAGGATTAATCTTTCTTTTAAGGTTACTCGATGTTGGCATGACTTAGATAACACGGAATATGACTGTTGGCCCATGGAACACCCAGATGAGCACAACATGATCGACTGTGCTGGTAAGATCCCATGTTGTCTAAATCCTACACTGTTAAGGTACTGTCTATACATATGTGTGATTAACTTGGAAATGTTTGAGGCACTGATTATCATCATCAATTGAAGTGAAATTAGTCTGAGTATAGTGATTTATACTCTTTCACTTAGTTTTCCCCACACTATTTTGTGGTTTTGTTTCCTGTGAGATGTGATCCCCGGCAAGCTCTGTCCTTGGTGTTCATCTCTAATTAGAGATCATGGAGATGTATAGCACATAAGAGGCCTTTTGGCCCATCAAGTCTGCACCAATCTATGTATACTAGCCTGACTTTCCCATACTAGGCCCGTAGCCTTGAACATTCTGACACTTCAAGTGCTTATCCAAGCACTTTTTAACAATTATGAGTTTTTCCACGTCAACTACCCTCCCAGGCAGTGAATTCCACACCCCCACCCACTCTCTGATGAAAAACAAATCCCTCCAAACCTCCTGCTTTTCACTTCAAAATGTTGCCCCTTTGTTATTGACACTTCAACTAAGGAGAACAGCTGCTTTCTATCTACCTGGTTCACACCCCTCATAATCTTATAGACCTCTGTCAGACCCCCTTTCTCTACTCTAAAGAAAACAACTCAAGCTTATCCAGCCTCCCTTCATCGCTAAACTGCCCCATCCCAGGCAATATACTGGTGAATCTTCACTGCACCCCCTCCAGTGCAATCATATCCTTCCTAACCAAAGTGCAGTACAGCTCCAACGTAACCTCTCTATTTTTCAGCTTCTTCAATGCAATCCATGTGTCAATTCTATACAGCTGCTTTGGGATAATGAAATGCCTTTTGGTACACTCCAGAGGGCAAGTGAGAGGCAATTATCTTGGTGTAGAACTGAAATCACATATGGGCCACACCAAGCATGTTTCCTTCCCCTCATTTGGGTTCTTTTTAATGTTAATTGAACAGCAAATAGTCACTTTTTTAATCAATGCTTGACCCTAACCTTTCTCTCAAGGCAGGATTTTCAACTGTTGTGGTTGGTTGGCTCGCCAAGCTGGTTTGTTGTTCCGCAGATGTTTCATTACCCAGCTGGGTAACATCATCAGTGCAGCCTCCGATGAAGCACTGTTGTGTTTTCCTGGTATTGGATCCTGGTTGGATCCAACCCAAACTGTGGACCTGAAACATGAATGGCACTTTTTTCAACATCAAACGGACCAAACTAGAGGAGACACACCAACTAATAAATGACACTCTCACCAGCATCAAATTCACCAGGGAAAAGGAAAGGAACGAACAGCTCCCATTCCTGGACATGAGGTTAGAACGCAGGGCCAACGGGGAATTCCTGCTGAGGGTACACAGAAATGCCACAAACATTGACCAAGTATTGAATTCCAACAGTAACCACACCAACACCCACAAACAAGGTTGCGTGAAAACACTATTTAAATGAGTGACAACACACTGTAACAAATTGGAACTACACCAAAAAGAAGAACAGTATTTCCACCAAATATTTAAGGACAACGGATACTCGAACAACTGGATCCGACGATGCCTACCACACGTACAACACCAGGAAAATACTGCACGCCCCGACACACTCATCACGCTACCTTACATCATGAACAGGTCCGAACTGACCACAAGACTCCTACGACCATTGGGCATCAGAGTGGCACACAAACCCACGTCAACCCTACGCCAACTGCTAACTCGAACCAAAGATCCCTTACCCACTATGGACAGAACCAACATAATATACAAAATTCCATGCAAGGACTGTGACAAATATTACATTGGACAAACAGGAAGAAAACTGGCCACAAGGATACATGAACACCAATTAGCAACAAAAAGACACGACCAATACTCACTCGTCTCCATTCACACAGTTAAGGAGAACCACCAGTTTGATTGGGACAACACCAGAATCCTAGGACAAGCCAAACAGAGACAAGCATGGGAATTCCTAGAGGCCTGGTTCTCCACCAAGAAAGCCATCAATAAACACATAGAACTAGACCCTATGTATACACCACTGTGACGGAAAACTGGAAATGAGGTCATCAATTCCAACGATCTCCAGAGTTTAAAACCAGGCGGGAAAACACAACAGCGCTTAACCAGAGGCTGCACTGATGATGTTACCCAGCAGGGTAATGAAACGTCTGCAAACGAACGAACCAGCTCGGCGAGCAAATCATACACAGCATCTACAACTCAAGCTACAGATCTACTCAAGAACCTTAGATTTTCAACTGTGTTCTCCCACGTTTAGTTTGGGTCTCTGAATCCACTATTCAGTAGGGGACTACATTTCAGAATATCTCAAAGGGCTAAATTGCATCCTTTACTCCGAAGTTCTATGTTCCTGTATACTTACAAAAAATCTTTACCTAAGCCAACATGTCTAATGTTGTGTTGTTCACTCAGACATTAAGGTCAAGTGTCTCTCATGACCTACGACAGCAATATTTTGATTCATGCAATCCAGAGAGAGATAACATCTCTTTACAATAGAAATCACAAGTCTGGAAGGAAATCACAAGTCTGTATCCTGCATTGTGAGTGGACAGTTGGATTATTGCACACAACAACCATCAAAATGTTGCTAAAATCCAATCGATGACACCAGCAGATACTGATCGTAATCAAAGTGAAATTACTGGGAGCATGATACTCCAAGATGAATGATCCTGCTAGCCCTCAGCTTCAGGAGCAAAGTCCCCAAAATAGTATAACTTCCATCCACAGCTGCTCCTGAGCTATTGATGAGTTGGAACCCAGCTTCAGGTTTGATATGTCTCAAAGGATGGATTCCACTGTCAGTGAGAGAGGAATTGTTTAAACTTTGCTCCTAGTCTGCTTTTGATCCTCTTGCCAGCTACCAGACTGAATGTTTTAGAACATTCCATGGCATCATTGGCACTTACATAGGCCAGTCAGTGAGTCCATGACGTAGATACCAGAAATATAAATATTTTATAGATAACAGATCTATAAAAGGGATGTGGAGGCACTAAAATGATTCTTCCATCTTTTGTAATGTTCTGAAGGCTTCAGTATTGGACCTTCCCTCCATCATAAGGTCAGAAGTGGGGATGTTTGCCAATGATTGCACAATGTTCAGCACCATTTGTGACTCCTCAGATACTGAAGCAGTCCATGTTCACATGCAACAAGATCTGAACAATATCCAGGCTTGGGTTGACAAGTGGCAAGTGACATTCACGCCACACAAATGCCAGGCTATGACCATCGCCAATAAGAGACAATCTAATCACCGCCCTTTGACGTTCAATGGTGTTACCATCACTGAATCCCCCACTATCAACATCCTGGGGCTTAGCATTGACCAGAAACTCAACTGAACTCACCACATTAACACAGCGGCTACAAGAGCAGGCCAGAAGCTGGGAATACTGCAGTGAGTAACTCACCTCCTGATTCCTCAAAGCCTGCCCACCATCTGCAAGGCACAAGTCAGGAGTGTGATGGAATACTCCCCACTTGCCTGGATGAGTGCAGCCCCAACAACACTCAAGAAGCTTGACACCATCCAGGACAAAGCAGCCCACTTGATAGGCACTACATCCACAAACATTCATTCCCTCCACCACCGATGCTCAGTAGCAGCAGTGTGTACTATCTGCAAGACTCACAAGAAATTCACCAAAGATCCTCAGACAGCACCTTCCAAACCCATGACCACTTCCATCTAGAAGGACAAGGACAGCAGACATATGGGAACACTACCACATCCAAGTTTCCCTCCAAGCCACTCACCATCCTGACTTGGAAATATTTTGCCATTCTTTCACTGTCGCTGGGTCAAAAACCTGGATTTCCCTCCCTAATAGCATTGTGGGTCAACCTACAGCAGGAGGACTGCAGCGGGTTAAGAAGGCAGTTCACCACCACCTTCTCAAGGCCAACTAGGGACAGGTAAGAAATGCTGTCCCAGCCAGTGACACCCACGTCCCACAAATGAATAGAAAAAAAAATTAGTTATTTTTTAGACTTGAATTTGAAAGATTAAGGATACCTGGTCTGTTTTTTTTTCAAAGAGGTCAGTCGAAGAACGTGCAAATGTATTTTAAACAAGGCATTTTCTGGTCATCACAATCACAAATATTTGATTGTCCACATTAGTAATTAGGTAAAATGCATAAATTTGTGCTGCGCTCAGTGAATTAAAAAGGTAAAGTTGCAATAGTCTTGGAGGGCTGCTCTGTCATTAGAGGGAGGTGATAGGTGGTGGCCTGACCTGAGGGTCATTGTACCTTAGGTGAATTGAGAGGATGAGAAAATTGGTCTTTCACAGTAACCTCAGACAGTGCAGGAATTGAACCCATGCTATTGGCATTACTCTGCCTCACAAGCCAGCTAACCAACCCCTATCAGTGAAGCAATGGGATTTAAGAGAGATACAGTGCATTCTTCCAGTTTTTGTTCTGACAACATGAAATTACCACCCTATCGCAGGTGCGTTCTCTAACGGGTAAAGGACAAGAAAAGATTGGAACATTACTCCACCTTTTGACTGTAGACAATAAAGGGCAGGAGTTCTTTGGTTTTTCAGCTGTGTATTTATGTAATTACAGCCCTGTTTATCTCCTGTTTAGTGTGATTTTCTTCCTCTCTGTTTTAAGGATTGGACATGAGCTGGGTCGTCAGACCTCCTGCGAAAGTGCGGAGTGGGGAGGAATTCAATGTCACCTATGCCCTCACTGCTTCCGACGACTTCTATCAGACAGCTGTCACAAATGGAATTCTGAAATACAGGTGGGAGCTAATGCGAAGGAACAGAATTTTACCTTTCCTTCAAAACCACCATCAATTTTATTCATTGCACCACCATTTTCAGTTGGGGAAACAATGGAACATAAACCTCGTTACAGTTTGGACTCTCTCCTGATTATATGTATTTTGCAAACAGAAAAGAGCAGTCTCCATGAGGTGATTATTTGTGTCTTCCACAATTTGAACTTGCCATAAGATTAAGGTTGGCCCTTTTACCAACATTTTCTCACTAGAGGTTGGATCGTCTGACCCCCACTGAGAGGCTGACCACACTCTCATCATTCAAATTAAAACTAGCTTTTGAATTTATTTGAAAAATCTATGTTTAAATGGAAAGACCATGAGAGAGAAAAAAAACGATTTGGCAATGAAATTAATACTGATTTAAACTTCATTTCAAATATTTAAGTCATTTTGGAAGTTATTAAACTAGTATTATGAGAACAACATTCACTCCCCAATCCCAGTTGTGCTAAGAATTATACAAACAGCCAATTTAATATCATCATTCAGTCTTGTAGCTTGCTAAGTCATGTGTTCTAAGAGTTGCATATATTCACACATGGGACCCCTGTGCTTTGCAAATAAAATGAGTAAGTTCATGAACTGCACCTATTCTAAGAAAAAAAAGGGCTTAGGGGACACTCAATGTTGGTTCATTCTCCATTGTATTGCCTTTACCAATCAGAGTTCACTTGCTAATCAATGATCACACCCTTCTCAGGCATTAGAAATTGTTTTTGTAATAAAGGTGTCAAATCCACACTGATGCCAACAGCATCGGTTCAATTCCCACACAGGCTGAGGTTGCAATGAAGGTCTCTCCTTCTTGACCTCTCCCCTCACCTGAGGCATGGTGACCATCAGGTTAAACCCCCACCAGTCATCTCTCTCTCTAATGAGAAAGCACCCCTATGGCCTCCTGGAACTATGGCACCTTTATCTTTCTTGCCTTTGAGAATTGGTATTCCTGCAATTCTGTTCTGATGAGTGTAAGAAGAAAATCTTTGACAACATATCTTTTTCAAATGATACTCAAGCTCTATACTGCCAAGCACCTATGAATGATATCAATTAAGATCCTAATGAAAAGGCCTTTTCTTCCTAACCAGTCCCACCTCAATAACTTGATTGGAAAGTAAACAATGGAGGTAAGATAATTAGAAGTGGGTCCAATATACAGGTATTTCCAGGAAGGATAATAACTGAGGCCACAAGGATCCCTTCCCCATTTGGGAAAAGTGTTGGATGGGGAGGAGATGGCCTAATGGTATTATTACTAAATTATTAGTCCAGAGAAAGAACTGCAGCTGCTGTAAATCAGGAACAAAAACAGAAGTTACTGGAAAAACTCAGCAGAAAAAAATCAGTGTTAACGTTTCGGGTCCCTGAAGGGTCACTGGACCTGAAACGTTAACTCTGATTCTTTCTTCACAGATGCTGCCAGACCTGCTGAGTTTTTCCAGCAGCTTCTGTTTTTGTTAGTCCAGAGTCCGAGGTAATGGTTGAATCAGGTTCACAATCCCACCATGACAAATAATAGAAATTGAATCCAATTGTTTTTGGAATGAAAAGTTTAATGATGAACATTAAGTCATTGTTGAGTGTCGGGAGAAAATGTCCCCTGGGGAAGGAAACTGCCATCCTCACCCGATCTGGTCTACAAGTGACTCCAGGCCCACAGCAACATGGCTGACTCTCAACCACCCTCTGGGTAATTTGGGATGGACAATAAATACTAGGTCGACCAGCATCACCTACATCCTGTGAATGAATAAAGCAGAATTTACTCGAGCCCCTTGCATTGAAGTGATTGGACGGGCCGATTTCTGACTTGTTAAGGTTGCTTTTGCTGTCTGATTTACAAAAATGCCCAGGACATGAACACTGTAGAGGCTGTAGAGACTTACAGTTACAGCTGGCATCTGCCTCCATGAGGCTGTTGGCAAATGTTGTTCAGAATTGAGACACCCGTCCGCAAAACTGCATGGTGCAACATCTGAACCATGAGACAGAGGGGGCAGAGAAGGAAAGAATTGGAAGCATATGGATCCCAGTACATCCTTGCCCCATGTACCCAAAAATCTGTGGACTGCAAATAATCCTGCCCAGTAAGTGAACACCCACCTGCAGAATTCCAGAATGGAAGCACTACCAATGAAGGTGGGTTGAGTCCGACAAGAATTCTAAATGTTTTAACCTCTCATTCATATAAACTGTAGGAAGTATATGCCCATTCCATTCAAACTATTCATAGGTCAACCGTCTGTCCCAGGAATAAGTTGAATGAATCATCACAACATTCCTCTTAAGCCAGCTTTATCCTTTGTTTTGATCCCAATTTATGGTAATCCTGATAAATCTGATCTCACTGACTTGATGGACCATAACTTATATTTTCTTTCCTCCTCCCTACTGTGGAGGTCAGTCACTGAACATATTCTGGAGGAGCCGCAAATGTACTTTAACAAAACAATTTAAAAAGTTTATTACACAAAAGAAAACCACAAACTATTTGACACTAGATGAAAACTTTTGGATTAACCTCATCACAAATTTCAGAAAGAAGGATTTGTCTCTTTAACCTCAGCAATAACTTCACAGATATTCAAATCACAACGAAGAGTCACCTATACCTTCATGTTAAACCTTCTTGCTCAGCTGGCACAGCTGTAGTCAGCTTTTTTTGTGACAAATTGTTGCACATTCACCGAATACTGTTTTCTTTGTGGATCCTAAAACGGAACTAGTATCTCAGCTCATTTATTCCTCAACAAAGGTTCCCTAAGCCTGCGTCTTCAACAGCCTCATAGAATATCTTCCTCTCCGACACCTCCACTACCTTCTGCTTATGACACTTTCTTCTCACACTCCTAAACTTCTCAAGATCGCCCCCCTTCAGTTCTCAGCCTTGATTGCTTGGAGACTGTTACTAATAGCACCTCTGCTCTCATGGACTTCGTCTCTCTGCATGAAAATAAGTCTAGCCCTTTCTCTCCTTCTCCATAAAACTCAAGTCAATAACACCGTAGCAATTGTCCCCCAAGTGGCTTCCTAGTCATTTAGCTTAAATTGTATGACTTCTTGTAAATGCTGTTTTGAATTAACTGGTCAATTTTTTTTTACTTTTTCTAGAAAAAAGGTTCAGATTTTCTTAGAATTGAAGTCATCTTGATCTAGATTCAAAGTGCTTGTCTTAGCTCTGTCTTCTCCCTTTCAAATTGGATATAAAATATTATTGTCCCTACAATCTATGAATACATATTCATAGAGAGAATATTTGCAATGTTATGATGGCTGGGAGTAATTGGGTAACTCTTTCAAAAGATCCAACATAGCCATGATGGTCAGAGTGGCCTTCTCTAGCTGTACGATTTTAGGATTCTATCAGAACAGGTCTATTGTGAACATTAATCAATTGATACCAGCTTGATTAAGCAAGTACCACAATGACTGCTGATTGGGTGTTGTTAAGTGTATAAACAATACCAATTCCCTATTAAGCAAATGGCTTTCAACAAGCATAAAGGGTACTTTGTTCTACTTTGAAAAGATTCCAATGTTGTTTTGTTTCACACATTTTTGCTTTGTTAATGCACAGCAATGCAAGTGAAGCCAAAAGATTTTGTGAAGAGAAGGAATGTCCAATCAACTGGAAAGATGCAACTGAGAGCAACTGCTGTGTTTACCATGCCAACATCCACTCCTGTCCTTTGGCATTCATGGTGCGTGCTTACTGTATTTCATGGTTATTCCCTGAGCAGCTCATTTATAAATCTTTCTATGGCTTCACCCCTTTCCACCTCTGTACCCTCCTCCAGATCCACCAGAATCTTTACCCTTTCTGACAACTTGTGCCTGCCCAATTTTCATCACAATACTTAAAAGCAAAGCAAAACACTCCAGATTGTGGAAATCTGAAACAAACACAGAGAATGCTGGAGAAACTCAGCAGGCCTGAGGAGAGAGAAACAGTGAACATTTCATAGAACATAGAACATAGACCATAGAACATTACAGCACAGTACAGGCCCGTCGGCCCTCGATGTTGCACCGACCTGTGAAACCAATCTGAAGCCCATCTAACCTACACTATTCCATTATCATCCATATGTTTATCCAATGACCATTTAAATGCCCTTAAAGTCAGCGAGTCTACTACTTTTGCAGGCAGGGCATTCCACGCCCTTACTACTCTCTGAGTAAAGAACCTACCTCTGACATCTGTCCTATA